ATAAAAGAGAGACAAGAGACTATGTTACCACATAGTCTCTTGTCTCTCTTTTTCGGGCCTTCCCATGTTATAGCTTCTTTGGAAAGACTGGCTTCTCTACTTACTCAGCATTCAACTGGCCAAAACCTAATACTCCAGTCCCTGCCCTGCACTTTCTACTAACATCTTCCACCAACTGAGTCTCTGTTGAAATTCTCAAATGAGAATCTGATTGGTCACTGGTCAGCCAAATGAATGAGCTGAGTGTCTATCAGCAGGCCAATCAGCCATAGCCAAGGATATGTAGGACCGACCTTTCCAGAGGTTGTGGGTAAAACAGAATCTCCAGAAGGAGCTATGAACACAAGCAGGCAATAGGCATATCCTATACAACCAAGAAATCTGGATTAGGTTGTTCCAAAATTAAAGGGAATCTAGCTCTTTTGAAGCACTTCAGTACTCTCAGCTTCCTGTAGGAGTTTGTTTTTTCATCGTTCACACTCAGCAGCCCATTCCAGGCCTGTATTGTAAGCCTCCAAGAAAATGAAGGAATAAGTTTCTGAAGGGAAGCTTACTATTTCACAGCCAAGTCAATTGCATGATATAGAGAAGGGTCTTCTCTCTAGAGAAGACCTTGAGACCTTGACACTTGAGCTTGATCCAAATTTCTTATCAGAAACGAATTTCATCCTGGTTCTCAGTGCTTGTTCCCCTTCCTCTTTAGGGAATGATTTCACTGCTAGGTCCAGTGAAGTGCACCTTTGGGATTAACAGCCCTCAGGAAGGGCGGTTATTTTTATTTTCTTAACATTAACTCTTTTTCTCTACTGAATTTTCTTTATTCAGTTATAATTTATGAACAATAACACAGACAAATCTTAAAGGTACAGACTGATCACATTTTACATATACACATATATGTATGTTATATACATACACGTGTGTAAATATAAATATGTGTGTGTGCATATGAGTGTGTGTGTGTGTGTACCTCCGTATCCATGTGACAACCCTCTGGATCAAGATCTAAAGAATTCTACTTTTTCCACAAAATAAAACCTACCCTAACTGTAAATTAGTTACTTTTTCTGCAATTTTTTTAACCATAGATCAGTTTTTTCCTTGAACTTATGTAAGTGGGATCTTACAGTCTATACTCTTCTGTGTCTAACTCCTTCTGCTCAGCGGAACACCCATGGATGCCCCCGTGTTGTTGTAGTATCTCTTTCTTCTCGTGGCTTCCTTTTCATTGTGTATACACAATTTGGTTAACCACTCTCCTACTGATGGACACTTGCCCTGTTTCCAAGTTTAAGCTAATATGAATCGGGCTGCTATGAACATTCCTGAAGTAGTCTTTTGTAGATATATGCACCCGTTTCTCTTGGATACATTCCCCAGTGTGGGACTGCTGGGTCATGAGGTGTGTCATGTTTCATTCTGTTGGACCTTGGCGGTTTTTTCAAACACACTTTGAGACTTCTCTAGTTCCCTCTCCTAGTCTTTCTGCCCTGCTACCACCTAAAGGATTTCCCTTCTGCTTCTGTGATCAGGCCTGTTTCCTGACTTACATGTTTCTCTCCGCAGGACAAAAAGAGGGGGCCACCCCTCCTGGAGGCTCACAAGATAATGGAGGTCCTACAGACTGCCAGATCTTTACGCTCAGCCCTCCACCCCCCAGGAGGAATCCAGTGACAAGGATCCAGCTCGTCACAAGGACACCCAAGTGTCCCTTTCATTTTTTTCCATGGCAAGGGCCTAGAGTCCACTTTAGGTTTCCACACAGACCTTTCCTTCCTCAGAAGTGTAACCACCGGTTTCTGTTTCGTCCATTTTTTTGGCCACACGGTCGCCTTACTCCTCATTATAAATATTTTCCCAGGGGAAGACTCTGGAGAGGAAGCTCATCTGAGGAAAGCAGATAGAAAGAGAAGCCCCAAATATGCTGAAGCAAAAGAAGCCAGTGCCTCAGAGAAGACTATAAACAGATTTCTGCTTTCTTCTTCCAAACTAAAACAACTGGACTTGAAGTACCTTAAACACCACAGACTAGAAATTGTTCTTCTTGTCAGCAGGGAAGATATCGGTTTAGAGGTTATTCAGGTTTGCAAAATGGGAGCAATAACTGCATTACCCTTATCCCCAACTTTTTAAGATCACAGGATATTGATGCAAATAAAAGCCTAAAATGGGTAGTTCCAAGAATTCCTCTACATACTGAGATGCCAGAAGAATCAGCTGTCTTCTAAATTCAAGTGAAAAGCATTTAAATAAATTGATATAAACCAATGAAGACAATAATGACACCCTTTTTACTCACTGTAAATGCGCCCTGCTCTGTAAGTTTTCCAAAGTAAACTTTAAAGGAAATTGTAGAAAACTGATAGTTTTATTTTATTCTCTATTTGGCAATGGTGTAGCTGGTGGTTATTCATTTACTGTTTCACTGAGGTGTAACTGACATTACATTATATTAGTTTCAGATGTGCAATGTGATGATTCCACATTTGTATATATTGCAAAATAATCACCGCAATAAGTCCAGTTAGCAACCATTACCATACATAGTTACAATTTTATGTGAGAACTTTCTAGATCCACTCAGTTTTCTTTTTTTTTAAGATTTCATTTTATTTTTTGACAGAGAGAGACAGCGAGAGAGGGAACACAGTGGGGGGAGTGGGAGAGGGAGAAGCAGGCTTCCCGCGGAGCAGGGAGCCCGATGCGGGGCTCGATCCCAGGACCCTGGGGATCATGACCTGAGCCGAAGGCAGACACTTAATGACTGAGCCACCCAGGCGCCCCTCCACTCAGTTTTCTAACAACAACAACAACAACAACAAAAGAATTATAAACATTAAAGCAAAACAAACTTACAGGGAGTCTGAGAGAATACCTTGAAGATATCATAAACCAAACTACCTACCTTAAAAAACTATTTTTAATTGTAATATCTAAAGTTACTTTAATGGTGACTTTTAATGGTAACCCCCTCCTCTCTCACTGTTTCTCCCATTATCATCGTATGGATACTAGCTTAGATTACATAGTTCCCCTAAAACTTTCGACACGGGTCTAGGCCCAACAGTCTGATTAGAAGTTTACATGGATGTTCTGGTAACTCTAGAGCTCCACAGACGTAAGTTCACTCAGCTATAGGAACCCGAGGGTGCAGCAGAAAGAATAAATCCCACTGACTGCATTCGTTGGCTATCACTGTAGCCATTCCGTAAAATGCTGCCTCCTGCTTGTGCCGCTCCCCTTGCCTGTAACACAGAAACGGGGCTTTTGCGTATGGGGTCAGTGGTTACACCTGTCCCTCCCAGGTGCAAAAGTTGCTGCAGTGCAGGTACTTCGACAGAGGGAAAAAGGGGACACAAAGGCGTGAGGGCGCTGGGAGTGTTGCCTGGGGAATGGAGGGACCAAGAAAACCACCATGCTGTTCTGCTATATAAAAAGATAAAAAGGAAGAAAATAAATTATTTCCTTCACTAACTTCATAGCAAACTTGCTTATAAGGACAGATACTTGCTGCAAAATTACAGGCTTAAATAAAACCTGTATTTGAAATCCTTGCTAAAAAACTCGTATTTTGTAATGTTTTTGCTCTCTCATTTGCTTTCCTTCTGATTAGTGGGGCATAACCAGAAAAGGACCAATCTAGGGGCGCCTGGGTGGCTCAGTCGGTTGAGCATCCAACTCTTGATTTCGGCTCAGGTCATGATTTCGGGGTTGTGGGACTGAGCCCCAGGTCAGGCTCCACACTCAGCATGGAGTCTGCTTAAGATTCTTTCCCTCAGGGGCGCCTGGGTGGCTCAGTTGGTTGGGCGACTGCCTTCGGCTCAGGTCATGATCCTGGAGTCCTGGGATCGAGTCCCGCATTGGGCTCCCTGCTCG